GACCATAGAATTCATGTATTTCAGCCGGGGTTTCATTCGTTTGAGTTCTAGATCCCGATCCTGCGTCAACATGCGACGTTCTTCATGTGAAATCGAGTCACGTTGTTGGGAGGTCGGGCGAGCTGCCCTTGAGCTGCTCGAGTGCTCGGTGGGTGTCCAGATTGTGAGGTTGGCCAATCTTTCGGTTGTTTCTGCTCGTGTCTACCGTTCAGGAGTCAGCGAGGAGCTTCTTCGAGTTCGGGGTGAATCATGAGCGGACTTTGGGTTTAACTGATCCAACTGTGCTCGGTAGTTTGCTTGAGCTGTAGTGAGAAGTTCCAATCTCGAATTGGTGCTTCGGGCTTGTTCAACCGGTCGATCGAATCGTTGCATGATGACCTCCATCATAGCTGCCATCGGATCCTGAGCTCGTTGGGTTAGTACGACTTCTTGCCCGGCGGGCTCGGTTTCGGTGACGGCTCGGACTTCTTAGTCGGTAATCTTTTCGACGACCACATGTTCTGTCTGGAGGTCATGATTCCTTGTTTCGAGCTCCTGATTGGCCATGCTGTGTTCGGGCTGGTTGTCCTCCATTTCCGAATAGAAATCGTGCGTTGGAGAATTTCAAGCCCCCTACCTGGCGCGCCAATTGTTGATACGTGAGTTCGACAATATATTTATTAAATAGTAAGAAGCTTGAAAATTCCCGTTTATTGATAACGTGCTCGGAAATGGGTTACAAGCAGCATACAAATAAGGAGTAATGAATGTAAAGGATGTTGAGCTCGGAAGCTTATAAGCTGACGAACCTTGTGTTTCGCAGATTAACTGAGTAACGAGATCGGCGTGATCGATGTTCTGAGGATGGAGATTGAGTGATAAGCATGTGTAATGAGATCGGGCCTGGGTGATAAGTAAGTGAGATCGGAAACTGGGTGATAAGAACACTGTGATCGGAATAAGTACGAACACTGCCAGCCGTTTTCTAACGATTTTTGTACGGTTCGGGCAGAATGTACGGACAAAATTCTTTTCCTTTTTTGGGTGAGTTAGAGTTCTGAACTTTCAGATCCTTTGTACTCTCTCCCAAATGTAATAACTGATGGATAATAGAAGGTGGGGGACCCCTATTTATACTAGATTGAAGAAATACTCTAATGTAGGGTTTCTTTTGGAACTTGAGTTGGGACTTTAATTCTGCCGGACCGAGCTCGGCGAGATAGACTTTATAATTTGTCTCAAC